CGTCTTTATAAACCTTAAACCAGACTTGACCATCAAAACAAATTCTGGTTTACTACCCAAGAAGATGCAAGACAGCACAGGGCTCAGGTTTAATGGATTAACAGCAAACCACTTAGCTCAATTACAGATCTCATACATTCTACTATTAGCAACTGAATTTGGATTTCAGATCAGTTTATCTACTCACTAGTTTATTCTGCTCTTTTTCACAGAAGCTCAGTGAAGTTTCTGAACCACGAACACTCTTCGTTAGATTAGGGCATCACTTGGTTATTTGTAGTAAAGCTGAAGAGTGAAAGTTTGGCTGCAACCTTTCAACTTCAACACTGAAGCAACTTCACTAATGCTAATGCTGATGTGCCTTTAACATGAGTCGAATGAAAACATTCTGCCACTGGCTTACTCCAAGACAAATCAGCTCCACATCACCACCCTGCATACACACTTACCTCCTAAGAGCACTCAAGTCCATAGATGAAAAGAGCTCTAAGCGCTACAGATAACACTCAACTGACTCGTATGAGACTGTACCTGTAACACAAAGCCTGGCTCTGCAGCCACACTGCAGTGTAGCAGGGGAATCTTAGGCAAGTGAATTAGTAATGTTTAACAACTCTGCCTGCCCTCCTTAAAGAAGGGGGCTTCCCCTCCATTCCATCTATGAATTGCCAAAGCTTAATTTTACTTTAGTCTCTTTGCTTTTGTAGCTGGTTGCATTAGTGTTCCTGAAGAACAGATTTGTAATTCCTGCCCTTCTATTAGAAGCATTTGGCTAATAACCCAACTCTATCGGCAACCATCATTTTCACTTCCGAGTTGAGTTTGCTGTTCAAACAAGCAAGGACCTTCCACATTCCACATCCATCCTCCAGTCAAAACAAGCATCACTGCTTTGGTGACACTGCTGAAAACAGCAGTGTTTTGTAATAAACTCACATTATGGAGCACATTTTGGCAAGCACCACCACAGCAAGGTCACTGAGTAAATAGGTGCTACGCAGGGACCTGAAACCTCAGTGACAGCAGTCCTATGAATTTTATCATAAAAGGCACTCAATCAAAGCTATCTAAAAGGAATTCTTGAAGGAGTTTAGGTTCCATTTTCCTCCCCAAATCTGCTTAAGCGGCTAGAAAACATTTGCCAAGCTTCCTGCTGTCACACAGAGCAAAGCCAGAGAGAGACACATTTAATGAGAAATGGTTGAAATGAAACTATGAAATAGCTACCTGGAAGTTCCACCTACCTTCAGACGGTCACAATCAGAGCGACATCATCCTACTGATTTCTTTGGTTAACAACACTGTAACCACAATATGAAGATTTCAAAGTCACCAGCCTTCCAGAAGCAGCAACCTGTCCAAAAAGCCAGGCTATGCCAACCACGAAAGCTTTAGGCAGGATCAGCTCTTGTTTTCCCTGTGCAAACCTTCCAAGTCCTTCATTTTCGGTCTTAAACTTTACAGGGAAAACGTACTCAACAGGCAATTCCCACTCTACTCCTTGAAGTTATCCTGGCTGTGACCCACTGTCAACTGAATGAGGAACTACAGTCTAATCACTGGTAACTCGTAACAAAACACCTCCCAAAACTGAGGGGAAAGCCAGTAATGCTGGTGTGAGAGTAGTAAGCACAGAGTCACAAATCTGGCTTTGTGGAAATGGGACTCATTGAAAGGAAACATATTCAGTATTTCTTAAAGCTTGCTTTCATATCTGGGAAGCAACTGGCAAGATCCTTTGAACTTAGGGCTGTAGATGTGAGAGCATACAAGAGAAAAAACAGCCACACGGGAGTAAGCTTACTCGGGTCAGAATTCATCTGGGTGCTCCTCTCCTAAGCTGCCATGCTGTGAATACATACATAAAACCAGAAGAGTAACAAAGGAAGTGAAGACCCATGAGTGAGAAAGAGTCCTGGCTAAACCATCTGACAACCATGCTCAGCCTAGAGCTATGGAAAAGGAATATGGTATTTATACTCCGGAGTGAAAAGGATCCAAGTCAGGAAGGTGGGAAGCACTCCCCGCACAAACAACACCCAAACATTGCACAAAGTGACAGCTCTGAGAAAATCCCTGACAAAGTCATCTGCATAGAAAATAAGCTACATTATACCTACCTGAGCGCAACATAGGGACAGAGCCGCGGAGTTGAGTGCACAGCCACAAACCTGAAGGCGAATACATGCTACCAACAGATTGTCATTCCATGAGAAAGGCAAATCTTTCAACTACAGTCATGTTCTCACTGCCAAAACCAAACAAAGAGAAGCCCAGGAGGTTTCTCTTCCTGCAGAAGCATTTAAGTTTCTCTTCTTCCACCAGAAGTCATTCTTTCTGTACACAAACTCTAGCTCAGTTTTCCCCAGACCATGAACACAGCCACAGAACAGAAGGAAACATTAGCAAACCTGCAGAAGGACAAAGACGAGCAACTGTATTTGGCAATACTGCTTCTAGGCCCAAGGCACCGTTCCTCAGAAACCTTACAGCATCAGAATTTAGCATCTTTTCTTCCTTTTTAAAGACCTGAACAATATCTACAGCAGCAAACTGACATAAAACTCATTTGTGCCTAGACTCAAACTATCTCCTTATATACCAGTCCGGTTTCAAAACTGCTCCCTTCCAATCAGTTATCAAAGAGAGAATCTCATCTTTTCCTTGCAACAGAGCCTGTATTAAACAGGAATTGCAATGCTTTGATGCAGGATCTAATCCACATATCTGGATAATCACTCAAAAACAGCTGCTCCCAAAGAGTGGTCCATTGTCCAGCCAGAGGCTTTAAGTGGTGCATAACAGGAGGCGGTTTGGGGTTTGCAGATCAGAAGGCCAACATGGTTCAGAGGTGCACACTGCTGAACACGCTGAGGACCAACAGCATTTGCTGTGGAAAGCAGCAGCTTTGGAACCACCACAGCAGAAGACTGAGGACAAACAAGATACAGAAACTGCAAGTGTTATTTACAGTTAAGACACCACTGGTGTGCAAAAGTATTGTTTTTCTAGAGTCTGCAGTCTTTAGCACACCAAAATACTGCCAGTGAAACAAGATGCTAATCTCACACAGACAACTTCTCAGAGGACAGCCTAAGCAGATCAGAACTGACCAGGACATACGTTCTTTAGAAAGCAGACCTTCGGTGTCAACTGGCAGACGACTACAGTCTTCACTTCTGCATCGATCTTCCTCTCCACTCACAACAGATTCAGAGCACAGACATTCAAGGAAAACATTAAATGCTATGCAAGGAACACTACTTAGAATACAAAGTAGCATCCTTCATTTTTCTTTAAGCGCACAAAGCCTCAAAGCGCTCATAAACCCACATTTAGAACATGGCACCAATAATTCATCAATAAGGAACTGGCTTTAATGTTGTCTGCGATGTTACAGGTTTGACTTTTGTTAAAAACAAAATCCAACTGTGACGTTTACATGTAACTGCTTGAAAACCTGGTAACTTTAAAGTCACCCTCATCTAACCAGTGCAGTTCTTCCATATACATCACAGGTTTGTCACTATATAGTTTATTATATTCATACTTTCTCTTGTGAATGGGACAGCAAAAATATGTATGTTTAACATAAATCACCTTGTGAATATAACACTTCACCACTTGTTTCAGAAGTAGTACTTTAGGCACTAGCACTTAAGGAGCTGCTATAAACATCGACTTAGCCAGTTGTATAAACACAAGTACCGTCTTAACATAACTTGGAAGAAACTGGGACATCAGTGGCATCCACTGCATTGCTCCAAGGAGATTAAGCAGGATGTCAGCTCCTGACACTCAGAGTAAAGCCAAAACTGTGAATCTGAGTAGTGTCCTTTACCCAGTTCTTTCTGTTGCTACCTCTTATCAGCAGCCAGCCTCACAGGGAATATTCAAGGGCAGTTCATACCTTCCACACCGGAGAAGGGACCTCAGAGGTCCTACCCCTTACTTTTAAGGCTGTCCACAAATACACATACATGTGAAGTAAGCAATTTTACCAGTGTAGTCTGTTACCATAAGAGTATCCCTCATAATTTAGAACAACATGCAGCTTAAGGCTGTTTCTAACATGAAAGCCAGTTGTTATTGAAAATTTCCTGTATCCGCAAGTAACACTTGGTAGTGCCTACAATTTCCTACTTTCCAAGAGCCTACTCTCGAGGAAGAGGGGATATTTACTTATTAATTTAGTAAGAATTTATGCTGAAAAACCTGGAGCATCAACTGCTTGGCAAGATCAGGAGCCCCTTCCCCACCCCAAATCCTCCACATAACTGTTCCATCCATGTCAATGTCCCAAACACCAGTGGCTTTTGGTACCGGTTTGCACATTTTTTTAGATAAGCATTTAAACATCTTAATTTAGAAAAAAATAACATAAAATCAAGAATCAGGAAATGAAAGATTTCCAAAACAAACCTGCACTTTCTGAAAGTCCTCAGGGACAGGCACACAAGCACGGTTTGCAGCATAAGCTGCGACTAACTCAAATCCTAATAAACCTGTACCCATTACCAAGAGGATCTAGACATGAAATCAAAAGACAGTTAACACAGAACTGTGCATTTAACTCCAGACACCTGGAATTTAATTACGTTTCACAACAAGGCAAGCACTGTTGTGATCCATTGGAAATTGGACACAGTTATCACCAGTTTCCGCCAGCCAACACACACCAAGATCTTAAATCAAGGCTGTGAACAATGAAGCCAAGTTTTCCTTTTCAGTAATTTTATTCTAATGTGAAACATGAAGAAACAAGCACCCAAATAACTCCAATATAGTGTGAAACTTTAATAAAAGTTGTTAAAAAAAAAAAGGAAAAAGAAACAAAGAGCAAAATTGGAAAGGTAAACTGAAAGGCTTGACTCCTAATCACATCCTTCTGCCATCAGCAAGGGGACTTTCAGACTTCCAAAAGGAAACAAAATAAAGGAAACAAAGATCTGCTGTTGAAACATTACTCCCAAAGACTGTTGAAACGCATAACATGAAGCTTCAGAGACAGACAGTTTTATTAACAGAGGCTTAATTTTGAACAGTATATACAAATCACATGACTTTTCCAAAAGGTGGGACCACCTAGAATCTGTCAAAACAAAATCACGCTAATGAATTACAGAAGCATCTGTGTAATGCGACCGCCTCTTTATTGAAGTACACCTTTATACAATCCTTCCACACATTCCTGTACTGGGAAATCCTCTCAGGATGCAGCGCTGCACAGGATTGCAAATCTCTCCTACACACCACATGAATAAAACTGTTGCCACTTGCACCTCTCAATTTTGCCTGACCATACACTTCAGTGTTCCATGATATGCAACACCAAAAGGCACTGTTTTTCTTTGTCCAGGAAACAAAACAGTTCAAAGTTTGCTATGTTTAAGTACAATGATTTGCAGGGAATAGCAGGATTTTTTCAGGCAATGTCCAAATCTTAGAATTTATCATAAGCCAAGCAAGGATGAACCAAAAAAGTCTACTTTTCACTTGTGCAATTACTTCCTTTTCAATTCGCTGGTTTTCCATGGAAGGTTTTACTGCACACCAAAGAAAATGGCAACTCTTATACAGACTTTGAATACAACAGCACAACTTTATTGCAAAAATATATAGTAAACTCAGTATTTTCAAGTTTTGGAGAAAAATAAATTTTATCTCTGAATTCACCCATAGCAGTAATTAATGACAGAGTTGCTTAAGATAGAGTTTCTTTCATATATAAACTAATTTAACACTTTAGCTGGACTCCAATCTTCTACTAATAATCACCACTTTGGTTCTCTTAGCAGAGACTCTATGTAAGGAGTTCAAGAGACACATGAGAAATACAACATCAATATCCAACTAGTGTCAAAGATCCTATCCCAACTGATTCATGTAATCCTAACAAATCAAGCTACTTAAACAATAATGAGTATTTTTCGAGTTGTTACTTCTACTGCAAATGTTTTAAGTGTACTACAAAACTCATATGATAATGTTTGAGGTTAGCTATACTTGTGGCAAAAGTCTTATTCTGCACAGTTATAATTGCAATATATAAATAACTAAAGGTTATTCCACAAAGAACAGCTTGAATTTTACAGAACGATTCTGCTCATACTTATAGGAATTAGTTTGGTAGACACATCAGCAATGGGCATAATTCAACTGTTCATACAGTGAGAATCTTGGAAAAAAGTAAAGATACATACACAAAACAATTAATCTGTGTACACTGAGAATTCGTTCGGTTGCAGAGTAAAATCAGGACTTTAAACAAAGCTTTGACCTGTAAACAAAGCAAATTCAGCCAGCTTTTAACCAAATCTAGAAATAGCTATCTATTTTACAATGGCTTGCAAGAGCACCCACTGATGAGCTTCACTGACTTCATCTATTTCCCTTATCCAAAACTACATAAAACCAATCTAAACTCCTTGATAAGCACTGTGACCAGTAAAGGTTACCAAACTTCTATGGTGACTAAGAATCTGTCTGGCTTCTCCACAGACTTGTACAGGAAAATCCACTGCGCGTCCCTCTTCGCAGTGGCTCTTATGCAATGGTTAACCCAGTGCTCTGTCTTATCAAAACCAATCTGTTTTACAATTTAAACAATCCACAGGTTCTAGCCTGGAAATACTATAAAAACCAATCCGGATGCATTTATCACAGCACTATGAATATCTATTCTACAACTACTTCATATTAACAGTTACCCTAAAACAAGTTTTACTTTTCTGGAGCCTATAGGCCTGTCATTTAAATCAACAACTGCTGCCATAGCTTCATCACGAGACTCGAATGCAACCATTGCTTCTCCAGTGGGCATGCCTTTTTCATTGTATTTTAAACACACTGAACCAGGAATCACTTGGTAACCATAAAAGAAATCCAAAATTTCATCCACCGAAACAGTAAAGGGCATATTTTGCACTTTGATAACAGTTGGTCCTGGCTTCCCAGAGCCTGTTGCAAAACCAGGGGGTCCACCAACATGTATATTTCCTGGTCCAGGTCCAAACCCTGGAGGTCCACTTATATGTCCATGACCACCAGCAATCCCTGGAGGACCAGCACCAAAGGCAGGGGGTCCACTTACATTGCCAGGACCATTACCGAAAGTCTGAGGACCCCCTGAAAAACCTGCTGGTCCACTCAAATTGCCAGGGCCACCCGCAAAACCTGGGACCTCAACACCTGCACCAGGTAAACCGCCAGCTGCAACTGCAGGTATCCCTGGTCTAGAATCGGGAAAACCACCTACTCCAGGCGGAGGCAGAGGGGGACCAAATGAGCCAGACCCGCTGAAGTTACCAGGGAAGTTAAACGGAGGACCATTGTTTGCATCTTTCGAACCTCCCCCCAAGAAAGCATGCTCATCCCCACCAGAACCCTGTGCTCCCGGCACAGCCGCGTTTCCTTGGATCGGGATTTTCAGTAGCTTTTTCCCTTGAGATGGTGGGTTTCTCTCAATGTCTCTCATTTCTTCTAGAGTTATCAAACGCAAAACAACATCTCTTCCATTCAGTTTTTTACGGTGCAAACGTTCTGCCTTACGAGCATCATCTTCAGCTTTAAACTGAACCAGAGCTTGTCCTAAACCTTGCCCATTATTATCAACAAGAATCTGTACAGCATTTTCTTCCACTGCCAGTCCCTCTAGAAACTGAAGGATTTCCATTTTTGTTATGTTGTATGGAATATTAGATATATGTGCACACAATTTTGGCAAGCCTGCATCTCCCTCAGCATTCATGAGGATTTCTCTCTGGTCATAGCTGTAGTTCTGTAATCTTTTACGAATCAAATCTATCTTTTCTAACATTGCCTTTTTAGTAATTGGATGAACTTGAATAAAACGATTCCCTATGTACTGCTTATGATGACACAGAGCTGCTTTATAATCAGCTTCATTCCTGAATTCAACAAACCCCTCTCCGATCGCCTTCCCATTAGGTCCATAAGCTATATAAATGCTGTCTTCAACTATATCCAGCTTTTTAAAAAAATCTATCACATGTCTGTTCTCCGATTCAAAGGGAAGACCTTTCAAATAGACACAGAAACCCTGCTCATGGGGCGATCTCGACCGTGACCTTTTCTGTCCACTAGGAGATTTGGACCTAGAATGAGCCTGGGGAGGAGGTGGGTGGGACTGCCCAGAGGGACCCAGGGTTTGCTTGAAAGTTATGTGGCCTCCAGCAGCCACCCACTGTCTCTCTGTTGCAGGACTAACTTCAACATAGCGCTGAATCATCAGCATTCTGTTTCGCTTCAGTGCTTCAAACGTATCTTGAGGAGAAAAAAACTTAACTAGTCCATTTCCATTATTCCGACCTACATGATCCTTCAGCATATGGACCGCATCCACACGGAGCCCAAGGAAAAAGTCTTTCACATCAGATTCTGTTGCAGAAAAGGGCATTCCATGAACGCTGACATACAAATCATCTGGATTGATTGGAATTGGCTTGACACTACTTTGAGAATTCATCTGGATAGGATTTACAGGATTCATGGGACCAATAAACAATGGATTCAAGCCGCTGTTCATATTCACTGCTGCTCCAGACCCATTCATTCCAGCAGGTAAAGGTGCTACGGGTGGAGGATTCATAGGAGGCATTCCTGACATGGGAGGCATAGGTGTCATTGGAGGTACAGGGGGCACAGGGGGTATTGGAGGAACCGGAGGAACAGGAGGCAGAGTGGGTACAGGAGGTGGAACAGGTATAGGGGGAATAGAAGGCATTGGTGGCAAAGATGGCATAGCTGGGATAGGAGGGATTGGTGGAGGAGGTACTGTGTTCATTGGGGAGGCTGTGCTAGGTATAGTTGAGCTAAACGTTGGGCTACCAAAGGTACTCCCAAGATTTGGAGGTGCACTCCCCATACTGGCAGTAGAAAATGTGGGTATGTTTTTATTGCTTTCGTGCACAGTAGTAGCAGCAGTTACTACACTAGGAGAAGGATTATTGAAGTTAGGTACAGTAGTAGGTAAGTTAACCCTTCCACTCATTCCAGAACTAGGTGGGGGTCCCGACCTGCTAGCATTTGCTGGTGGCATATCTAGATTGGCAGTTTCAAAACGCCTACGACTGAGTTCTATCATGTTCTGCATTTCAGTTTTACTGCTCAGCAACAGCGTTACTTTCGACCCTTTAATTGTACCACCTGTGCGCATCATACCAAGCCTGGCATCTTCATCAGTGGCAAAAACGATGAAAGCCTCACCCAGTTCACCCCCTACAATATGCACGCCCCCATCAGGGATGGTCAATCCAGAGAAGAAGTGGCGAATGTCCATGGTCCCCGCCACAATCGGGAGACCTTGCAAGCGGATGACCACAGCCATGCTGCGCTGAAACAACACACACCTGCAGATGAGAAAAGGCAACGGCCATGTCAGACTACTGTTTATGACACCATGCAATTACCTACAGACACCACATTTCTTTACATACACCTAACAACATCTTGCAAAGATTAAGCATGTTCATATTCCAAGTTCCTTATTCACGTTTACTTCATACAGACTGAAGTATTAAAACATTTACCAACATCATCAGTATATATTTTTTTCACTAGGAATTCCAAAGTAAATGTTAAACTGAGACCCACGAGTGTCAGTAAAAAATAAAACATGAAAAAAAAAACCAAAACACCTAAGTAACATCAAAAATCAACAGAGGAATATTTAATGGAACATAACCAAAATGAGTATTTTAACGAAGCAAATAAAATCAATTTACCATACACTGATATATATATGGTATCTCCTGTACCTGGCAAAGTGACTGCAGAAAATTAAGCACACCTATGGGAAATGGAGTTCTCTCTCACCAGGAGAGGGATTTGAGCTCCTGGCAGGTGAAGACAACTGAGAATATAAGTGTTATTTACAAACAAAAACCTGTAATGGACAACCAGCAACAGTGAGACTCTCGCATCATCTGACAGAAGCCATCTAGATGATACTGATCTTCCATATTTCTCCTAGTGATGGTAGGAGGTCCAGGTAAGCATGAAGCTATTAACAGTTATATACCAGTCCCAGACATTTTGTGAGCATACAGACCTCACCTACATTAGTATCTGTGCATTTCCTAGCTTGATATTTGGCCTTTACAGCTTTCAGAACAAGGCACTCTGTAATAGTTGCAGATGTTCTGCTAAGCATTACACCTTGTCTCAGGCACAAGTAAACAGCTTTTACCTCTGCAGCTGAGGTTAGTGGAAGTATAAAATCAATGTTGAACATTAGATTACAATTACCTTGTGCACATTCTACAGAAGAGCCCGAGGTCATATCAGAAGTTCAAGATAAACAGGAGTAGGCCATTTTCAATTATTCTTGACAAACTTCCAGTAAAGACTGAAAGTGTCATATTAATACTATCACAGTTCACTAGTTCAGAAGCCAGCCTCTCATCCTAAACCACCAGCAGTAGCACCTTGTTTCACCTGAGCCACTTCATCTCTGAAATTTCTTGACTTCCCAAGTACAAGCCAGTTCAGTATCTGTGCGGAAACCTCCATGGCTCCCACTGGTCACATACAAAAGCTGTTAATTAAGCACCTGAAATCAAGGATTAAACAGATCATAGAATGATTTAGGTTGGAAAAGACCTTTAAGATCATGGAGCCCAACCAGATGATACAATGCAACACCAGAATGCAGGGCACCAAAGACTTCTGGACAAATACCAGCTATGACCAAATACAATAAGCAACTGCCTCCCAACATTTTACATGCAGCCAAGTAGTGTATCCCAGCACACAGTCAAATCTTTGCCAGGACAGAAGTCTTTTGCCTGACAACATTTGCCTGTCCAAGTCTTCTAATCACTGTAGGTAACATCTTGAATACATCCTTAAGTACTTGGTAAAGAAAGCCATTATCCGACAATTTAACCATGCCCATAAGGCTGAACTCAGTACTTGACAAAAACAAGAGCAACAATTCTATAGGAGAAAAAAAGAAGCCATTTTTCTTTTGAACTTCAGATTACTTAAATGGGTACTTAAGTATTTTGTTCTCTTGCCCAATAAACCAGAGCTAACCCCTTTCATACACTAATGAACTCAACCAACATACCAGGGTATTACAGGGCATTGGCCCACACCCACCTGACTCCAGGAAAGCCAGAGGACCTTTCTCCCTCAAGGAAACAGCAGACAAGCCCATTGGCACAAAGTCAGCTCTGCTGCTCCAGGAGCTGCATACAACAATCTGATTCCTTACTATATCATCTTGAAAGAGAGACTGGAACTTGCAAGACGAACATCACACGGTCTAAACAAAATGTGTACATACCACTAAGAAACCCCATAATCCCCCAGCAAGGGAAGGCAGCAACAGAAAGAATATAAACTAAGCCTCAGGGATTACTTTTTTTTTAAAGCAACTTTCCCATCTCCATGGCGAGGTAACAAAGCAACATCCTGGCATTCAACTTTTACAGTGACACATTCAACTTTATTCTCCACTTCACTGCCCAACCATTTTCCAACAGCAAAATAAGTGGCCCATCTGAAAAGAAACAGGTCAGAATAGGAACTATCACACTATCTATACATTTAAGAAAGCATGTAAGACTTATTGCACTGTTTTAAACCAGGATTTTCAAATGATTCTGTGGCTTTAAATCTGACATTGATAGCAAACTCTGAAACCAAATTCCAATGGAAATTCTGCCTACTTTAAAAGAGCCACCCTAAAGGGTATTGTAATACTGAAGTTTACTACATGATGCTACAGGACTGCTTTTGAATTAGATGATCCTGACGCACATAAACGGTATGAAGGCATCCCTGGTTTTGCACCTACGCTTTGAGAGCTAAGACTACTAATAGCATGTCCTGGTAGGAGGTTTGTATTTTCTCTATTGCCTGTTATACAAAGAAATGAGTTTCAGAAATGTTTATGCATCAGGAGTTAAGACATTAGGTTTCTTGCGTTAAATGGGAGATATACTTGTAGTTATTTCCTTACTGATGCGAAAGTGTTGATGATCTGATTTTATTGAACAAAGGCAACTCAAGAAGGTTTTTCAGCTCAGATATGCTGGTTTAGAACACCATACATTCTGTAGCAGAACTGATACCTACTGCATAACTGCATTTACTAATGATTCCATGAATCTAGCCCAGAAGACAAATTAACAGATAAGGTCACAAAAGAATTCTTAAACAGTTCAAGCATCTGAACATTTAGGTAGCTTGTAGGATAATACAAGTGTTTCAATCCTGCACTAAATTCAAACCTTCACCATAAATGCTAAGAGATTATCTTGAAGTTTTCTTACCAAGTATCCTATTCAGATCTACTAAATCACTACTGACAAAAAAAACAACCCTAAACAGCTGCTTACACATATAGCTGCTAGAGAAGCTAGCTGCAATGACCTCAGCACAGCTAATTCCATGCATGATATTAAGCAAATGCTTGCTATTAAGCAAGAGCTAACAGTAGCATGGTATGAAAGAAAAGAATTTTAAGGACTTCACTCATCATATATTTTGGACAAAGAATATTTTGTCAACTCAAAACATAACTGCTTCAAGTTTTTCAGGATACTAATGCTCTAACGAAGTATTAGTACTGCTCCTATGATTTAAAGAAAACTCACAAGGACCAAAAGGGCCAAATTTCACATTCCTAAACACTTACAAGTCTGCTTCTTTCCAAAATGCACTTAGGAGACAATAACCCAACTCACTCAAACTTTCCAACTAAGGAAAAGCAAAGCCTGCTCAAATATTTCACCATTCATTTTTAAAGATCAACATACATGCAGAGGCAACATTAACTTCAGACACAGAATAGGCTATACGCCTGTTAAGTGTGCACTGAAGGCTTCTTGGAGGACTGTTAGAAGTGTTCTCTGCTTTTCCCCTGTAAAAAAGAGATACTTTAAGGCAGAAGCAGGGTTTGTTGTCATTTTGTGTGTTTGGTACATCTTTAGGGACACCAGAGGCACAAAATCCTAGAGCTGTACTACAGATAATCCATCCCCATTAGCAAGCGGAGATCAAAACTGGCAAGTAAAGGGCTGCCAACAATCAACCTGATTCAATTCATTTGATGAACCTTAATCACATGATTATGTCTTGACAGCAACATCTGTAAAACCATCTTCCCAGGGAAGTGGTGGAATCACAATCCCTGAAGCTTTCAAAACCATGCTGATGAGGCTCTTAGTGACACGGTTTAGTGGTGGACTTGGCAGTCCTGGGGTGAAGGTTGGACTTGGTGATTTTAAAGATCTTTTCCAACCTGGCCGATTCTGTGATTCTAAAACCACTGTGTTACACTGGAAAAAGGTATACAAGTTGTCAATGCTACTTCCATTTATCTGCTAGTCATTCAAATAAGGCTAACTTGGCTATAAGCATAAATTGCTAAACACACCAGAACAGCTGTTTAAGATGTATGCATTGCTCAAGTTTAAGTTTAGAAGATTCAACCTAGCTCCTGGGGAGCGTTCAAGTACAATACCCACGCAGTACACACATGCACATACACAATATGCTTGGCAATTCTTGGATGAAGATTAAGAACTGGAGCAAGACTGGTATTGTAGGAGGAATTTTAAGCATCCAGCCTGAGACTGTCTAGCAAAAGCTAGAACTGCAGACTACAGTTCTGCCCTTCTGGGTTTTGTTGAAGGCTAAAAATCAACCTGTTAGATTAAGATAGTCATCGCAGAGCTAATTTGAAACTATCCAAGCCCTTTAAATGCTGCAAAACCTAATTAGAACCCACTGTACACATCTGAACTCCAATAGTTCGAAACATGCAGACTTGTGGCCTGCAGCAAAGTAGCTCTATTTTCCAACAGTGCAAAATCACTGGGAGTTCCGGACTACCACATGCTGATGAAACAACAAAACATTAGTTTGGCAGAAAATTCTGTTTACGAGAACAACATTGCCAGAACCACCATCACCAGTGGGACTCAAAGAGACTAAGCTATAGATCATTTGACCCAAATATTTTGACACCAATTCACAGATTCCAAAAGCTTCAAATATATCTTAAGATATACTTAATATGCATATAAAGAAGTCTTCAATTCAAAGGCTCTTACCTGCAAAGACAGATGTTTTTTTCTTAACAAGTAGCAGAAGCCAAGCCAATCCTGTGGGCAACCAATTAAAACCAACTTTTAGACTGCAATAAAGAATAAATGGAGGCAAAAATCAATGCAGGCAACACAACAGCAGGAACAGTCCACAAAGAACTGTATATACAGAAAGTTCAAACCTGCGACCACCACAAGGCACTGACCATTGAGCAACCACGAGACTGCATTTTCTAATACCTTATCCCTGTGTGACTTGTTGGCAACT